CGGCGGCGACAGTCCCCTTTGGCGGCAGTGTACTCCCCAGAACGGCGCGCCTGCCATTGCCGATATACACCAGGACAGCCGGCACGCCAAAGCACTTGCTGAACCACGCGTCGTAGCGCTCGCCCATGCGGTAGGCGAGCGACGCCGGGCTGCCGTGCAAGCTGACATCAATGCGCTCGAGGGTTGCCACGTCAGGCTCGAGAGGAACCTCGATCTCCGTCTCTGTCGTTGTTGTTATTGTTGTCCCAGATGATGAAGAGGATAGTTGGGCATCGAGCTCCTCCTGCTCCTTTGTGGGCGGCGGCGCATGGTAGCGCACGCGGATCAGGGGCTCCTTCTTCTGGTCGTCGCAGATGATCTCCTGCTCGAACAGGGCGCATCGCGGGAAGGCATCGAGCTGCATTTTCTTGAGCTCGCCCGTCGTCTGGTTTACCGTGTAGAGCATGAAGCGGCGGTCGTGCTTGATGCCCTGCGGGCCGAGCTCGGCATGTTTGAGCGGGATCCCCCGCAGTGCTTTGATGGGGTAGACATAGAGCTGTGATGGAGTTAGGATTACTGGTGTTGAGGATGGGATTAGAGGAAACTTGCTGCTGAGATCTTCATGGTCGGGTATGTATGCAGTTGGATTGTATACTATCAGTTCGTGGAGTGGCAGTATACGAATAGACTAGGTCTAGTGGATATCTTAATCACAGACGGGTGCGGGCAACCGTAGAGGTAGTCAACGGCCGAATGCTGCTGCAAGTACTAGACTGGGTATATACCGAGATGAATGTTGTACGCAAGTTGAAGCGTAGGTAATCAAAATCCCGGTTTTTGATGTTGATGGTAGCTCCCAAAGACGAGCCCGATAAGCAAGTTGGGCTGGGCGTGGCTACTCCGCTGCGTGGTTCAACCGGACAGGCAGGTTGATTCGTCCAGCGCCATTCGGGATGCGGAGCATTCGTGCGTCGTTGTACATATGCAGAAAGGCCTGGATGATTTATTTCCGCATCTGGTTAGAAAGTACCCTGAGTTAATGGTAGGTGCCGATCAGTTTTGGGACAGTGTGGAATTGAACATGAAGGGAATCAAAATAGACGGCTTTTCGCGGTGGCTAAAGGTTCAAAGGAGACGCTCACGGGCTATAAGAGTCAATTGGAACCAACAAAGACAAATGTCATATATATTGTGGTATCTGTTCTTGATAGTAGTCATCACCTATCTTGAACCAAGCGTGCTCCAGCATATCTTCTGCCGATATTCGTTTGTCTGGCGAGTATTTAAAGATTCTCTTTAGCAAATCGGCAAGTAGGAGGACCTCCTCATTAAGCCGGATGACTTCAATTTCGCTGTTTTGGACGTGGTCGAATTCGGATTCCAGCCCCTGGGTAATGGCATCCTCAATTGACTGAGCCATGAGTTTGTCTGATTTGTTACTCTTATCGCTGGCGGTGCTTAGTCTTGAGGGTTTCCCAGAGCCATTCACATTGTCTCGAAAGTTTTTCCGCCTTGCCTCCCATCTTGTCGACCACCATGGCTCTGGAAACTTGCCCAGTATGTCCACCATGCGAACCAAATGCTCGTCGGGGTCGTCGTCAGCCATGTCGAAGAGTGGCCTGCCTGTTCTAATCTCAAATATTGTGCACCCGAGGGACCAAATGTCGCTCTCGATACCCAGCCGCTTGTCAAGGATATACTCGGGGGCGCGGTACTCTTGTGGGATGTCTAGATTCTCTGGGAGGTCGCCAACATCAAACGACTCACCAAAGTCAATAAGACAGGCCCTGTTAGTGATAAAGTTGATGCCGGCGGCTCTCGAGTCCGAAGACTCCCAGTCTAGTGGAGTTACTAGATAGCGAGGGGCTGTTGGGGGCAAAGGCCCCTCGCCGGATGCGCGGACGACATTTGTTCTTTTTGGAGGACCAAGAGCTTGTGAGATCTGCTCCTCGGCGATGCCGCCTAAGCCTTTGACGCGCGCCAGAATATTGGCTGGCCGGAGATCTTGATTTATGGTAAGTCAGAAAGGGCTAAACTAGAAAGGAAAGCAAGACAGAGCAGTGAGCACTAACCTCCGTGACAGATTCCATATGAATGCAGAGTAGCTATTGCCTTGGCCACCTGGAAACAGACTTGGCGCAGGGCCCTCGCTGGGTCGTCCAGCTTCAGAAGACGGGGTACCGTAGAGACGCGGGGGCCCAGGACCGGACAGACGAGGGCGAAGTGATAACCATTGGGCCCCTGAATATCGAAGCGACCAAGAGGTAAGCACAAATGCTCGGCCGCCTCGGCCTTTGCCAGACCTCGCTTGAGGAGCTTATAGACACGGAGTTCGTGGCAGTCGTCGATGGATGCATCGGCCATGAGGATTTTGACGGCAAAGTACTGCGCCGTCTCTCGCTGAATATCGCGACAGAGCCAGACGTTGGCATAGTATCCGCTGCCCAGCTTGTCAACGACGCTGTAGCGGCCGTTGAGGACATCGCCGAGGTGGACGGGGTGGTGACCCCCTGGCTCGTAGTCATAGACGCTCTCGAGGCCGATGGGTGGTCCTTCAAGTCTCAGACCATTGTCTCTGAATTCGCGGAAGCTCTCCTGGGGGAGAGGACAGGGCTGGCGAATTCGACGTCGGCCATTGTGGTAATGATAATGAAGAAGACGAAGAAGAAGAAGAAGAAGAAGAAGAAGGGTGGGGAGGAAATAGCAAACGAGATAACGACGGCGACGACATGAGAGGCATGAGAGGCATGAATGAAGGATATGGCCGGACAGATGATTTTAGTCTTGTCAAAATGGAAATGAAGCAAATGACGAAAACGGTAATCAAACAAGGCGAAACGAGTCTGCCATCGTGAATCCACAATTACATCCCCGTGCAATCAAGCCCGGGGTTTTCTGTGCCGCCTCCTGGCGATCCTGTTTCATGACGCGGACCTTGGCGATTGGGTGGCGCCGTCACTCTGGATGCGAAGCTTGAACTTTTGGTCTGATCAAAAAAGACCCTGGAAGACCCTGCAATTCCCGGCAGACTGGTGTGGGGTGTGCGGGTGTGCGGGTGTGCGGGTGTGCACCTGCTTGTGATTGCCTGTTGCTTTTGTGCGTCGCTCCTTCTCCATCTAAGCTGCCCGCCATGGTTTGTTTGTCTCTGTCATTGGACCCCAATCGTACCACCCACCGATTACGGAAAGCTGGCTTGCAATGGCTAACTTTAGAAAGAGGAAGCCGCCGACGGGCATCGGCTCGCGTATCGGATCGATTTGCTGACCCTGGTTTTTCTCGAGCACCCCGCCATGGCCCATGAGTACCTCAGCATCTTTGCATCCAATTGCATCTGACGACATCACTCGCAGCCAGCAACCCCAGCAGCATTCAGAACCCCACATAGCTATCAGGCAGCAATACAGATACACTCACTACACGCAACAATGGCCGAGACGGTCCCAGAGCAGGAGCCTGCGGATGTCATGCAGCACCACACAATCCGACTTGCACACAAGCCCGGTGCGGCCCTAGCCGTCTCAACCTACTTCCCTCCCGAAGGCGCACCATCCGCAGCAAAGAGTCTACTCGTCGTCTTCCTCAACGGCCTCGTTATGCCGCGCGTTGAATGGTTCCCCACCATCAGCCGACTCGTCGCCACCCAAAAGGCTGCCAAGTTTGACACGCCCGCCCTCCTCTGCTACGACCGCTACGGCCAGGGCGACTCGGAGCATGACCCCGGCGATCGCCAACAGGACGAGCCGTACGGCCACACGGCGCTCCAGGTGGTGGAGGACCTACACCAGCTTATCAAGATTATCACGGTCGAACACATGAAGAAGGATCCCAAGCGAGTGGCTCTCATGTTCGTCGGCAACTCGATTGGCTGCGCCCTGGCCCGCCTCTACGCCCAGGACTACGGCCACACTGACCAGGTGAAGAATACCGAAGCATATTTGTTTCTGGACTCTATGATGGCCAACACGGATTTTGTATCGCTCTTCCCAGATCCAGACGACGAGGACTTCTACGCTCTCCATGACTTGCCCGACGGCATCTCTATGAAGGATGTGCTGCACGCCAGGCGGCAGTTCACGGCCCAGTTTCATCCTGATGTACCAAATCCAGAACACTTTGATCGCCGGAATCTGCCAAAGCTGTTGCCCGATGCCGACCAACCTCTTTTACGCCCTAATCCAACAGCCGGCGAAGAGCCCTATCTTGTGGTAATTGGCCACGATCCGGCAGTGTTTTCCAAGAAGTGCGAAGAGGTATGTCCCTCCAGACTCACCCGTTTACATTCTAGTTTACCTGCATTCGCTCTTGATTTCTCTCTTTTTCTTTTCTTGTTTATTCTCACCTTAGCAAACAAAAAATCACCGTATACTGAAGCAGACGGGTAAAACTCGCAGGGCTCCTTGAACGTGCCCGCACGCGTTATCGACGCCTTCGTAAATCCTGCCTGGAGGGAGTACAATGAGGGACTCACCAGGTTGGTCATCATGGATTACAAGGTAGAATACAAAATTGCACACGGGGCCGGTCATTTTATTCAAAAAGACAGTCCTGAGTGGGTCGCCAAGGAGATCGATCAGCTTATATTCAAAACCACCCAAACCATACACGAACAAAGCCATCACGAACAGATAGACGACAACGAAACAGAAGACGAAAGAGGAGACGAAGATGATCTGGTGTTGTCCGTTGGATCAAAGTCCCCTTAGCTGGCTGCCCAAGGAGTCTCGTTCAGTATCAACAGGAACGATAATTGCACGCTCTTGAGAATAAAGCGAACTGGAATTCGTGAAAAGACCAAGGGACTGCCTTGCTCACTTATATCACAGCGTGATTCGATTTTGTTTCAAAGTTGGATATATCAAGAAGCGTATACTTTTTCCAACTGTTCAGGATCGACTCTAGACGGCTATTAGAGTGAAACCAGACCCGTCCATGATCAAAAAGGGATGCGAGGAGCAAAAAGGGGGTTGCGCACATAAATAACAATGGCAAAAATTGAATTGGTGTGCAACTTCTCAGTTCTTTGACTGGAGTGGGATTCGAACCCACGCCTCTTGCGAGACTAGTAAACTCCCCTTTTCGGGGTCAAGGATTTCTTGAGACTAGCGTGTTAGACCACTCCACCATCCAGCCAATTGATGCAAGAATGGGTTGGTAGCATGTATTATGGTGGTATGCTGCTTTTGGTTGTCTGCTGACTAATCGCCCCTCTCGCTCGAACCTCTCTCAACGGACTTTTGGAGATGAAAAGCAACTTTCTTGCAAAATGGACCGTTTGCTTCTCTCGTCTTTCTTAAAATGATGACAAATCGTCGCATTTGATGCATAAAATTAGGCAAAAATGTTGGTCTCTGGCAGAAGTTTGCACAACTTCGCTGACAAGCAGCCAAAGTCACAAGGTATCTTGCCCTTCTGGTATTTGCTCCAAGTTCCATCTCTACAGCATCCGTAAATACAAAACATCCTATGGTATCTCAATAATTACATTTTATCATCCATTTATAGTCCCAAGCTCAGTACTGTTTCACCTCGTTTCCACATTAACACCCACATAGCCATTCACACCCTCAACCCTCACTCCGCCTTCCCCTTCCCTTTCCCCCTCTTCGACAACATCCTGGACACCGACTTCTTCAAATCAATCGCCCCTCCACCCCCAGCCAACGTACTACTACTGACACTCCCCACCCCCGCCCCCAATGCATGACCACCCGTCTTCTTCTTGCTCTCATCCACCCTAAAGCTAAAGTCTACCACGCCCACCAGCCCGCTCACCGCCCGCACCAGCACCTCGAGATCATCGCACACCAGCGCGATGCACACCTGTATCACGGCAAACTCTGCATACCCTGGCTGCTCCATATTCTTCGGATCAAGGATATCCATCCCCACCACATCGCCCACGCTGCGACTGGGCAGAGGGTGGTCGTTCATGTCGTCGTCTCTGCCCGTGTGAGAGTCGACCAGTTTGAAGGGCGGGAGTTCCTCGTCTTCGTCCTCGTCCTCGCTACCATTAGTATTATAGCGCCGCGCTTGCATCAGGCGGCGCGTCATCTCGTACGGTCGCGGGAGCGGCAAGAACGGCGGCAGGCTCTGGCCGGACAGGAGGGAGTTGGAGAGTAATGTCAGCGTCGACAAGATAGTATGGTGGGTAGTGCTGAAGCTCGCCATGACCTCTGCGAGGGCCTTGATCCATGCGTCGTCCTTGTCATCAATAATCGCTGCAATTGATGGAGGGCGGCTGCTTGGCTCTCCCTGCTCCTCCTCCAGCTGCTGGTTGGGGACCGGTCGTTTCTCCTTGGGTTTGGAGATGCCAGGCCGCACATGGTCGGGATGTGTGATGGTGTAGCTCATCAGCGCCAAGTATCCCATGATTCGTGTGCTGCGCAGGATGATCTGGTCGTAAGCCTCCCTAGGGAATTTGCCGCCGATGGTCGGCTCAAATCTCTGCCAGTCGGAGTGCTGTGACATGGACGGAATGAGCATTTGGATCTTGCCAAAGATCTTGCGTCGGATCTTGAACAGTTGGTGTGCCGGTGTGCCTGGGACACTCATGTCACCAGCGGTGTTGTCGATCTTGGCCTGCAGTGTTGAGTTGATGACGCTGAAGTAGTTGGCGATGAGATACAGAGTCGCCGATAGATCGCGACGCAGCCATGTCCGGTCTGTCAAGGGTGAGGGGAAGACGGTCCATATGAAGGCGATCAAGCTGCCGCCGGCCACACAGGCAAGACGATAAGGTGCCAGTTCGTATGTACTGAGTCTGAGTTAGTGTTTATGATGTGTGAAGATCAAATGAGGAAGAAAACATACGGATACCACCGCTGGCCGGTCCGCTCAGCCACGGCCTGGCCAATCTTTAGCACCTGTAGCTCGTAGCCGATGATGAGCACCTGCGTCACGATTGTAATCATGACGGCAGGAATGAAGCGCGGAAATTTGAGGAAGAAGTAATAGTCGATAAATAATGACAGCCACAAAAACACAATCACGCCCGGCGTGTGCTCATTGGCGATGTACCAGATGATAAGCGAGAAGACCATGGCGATGACGGTGCCTCCGACTCTGCACAAGAATCCAAAAAAGGACTGGCCGGAAGCTATGAGAGATTTATCAGTACCAGCACCGAGCCAAACTCAGACGAGGAAAAGGGAAAGAGGACTTACTCATGGTCATGCCAATGGCAATAATGATCATAGCCCACACAAGTCTTTGTTCCATAAAGAAGCGCTGCGTGGACTCCAAAAAGGCGACGATGCCAATGGTCATGGTGGCGCAGGCGACTCTGAACCCAAAGATGGACTCCTCGGAACCAAAGAACTCAGACACCTTTCTCAGCCCGTTGCCAAAGTGTTCCCAGGCAGTCGCTGGAGGTAGATGCTCGGGATCCTTCTTCTGGTTGTAGCCATCTCCAAAGTAGACGATAGTGTTGTTTGTCTCCATGAGATCTGGCGCCTGCTCGGCCGAGGTATCTTCGTTGCTGAGAATGCCGACAAACCACCTTCGCAGACGACGGAAGGAGGGGAAGATGAGCCGCTTGTTCTTCATGGTCCCGTCCTCGACTTTCTTGTCAGCAAAGGCCATGAGATCCTGAATAGCCTCGCCCGAGGCGTGCATCAAGTTCTCCATAAAGAGGAGGATGTAAAGCTGGACTTGATCTCGTTCTCTCCGCTCCTCGGTGTACTCATAGTCGTCTTGTTCCTCATCGGCAGGAAGCCCTCCCTGCTTGACCCATTTCCTCAACAGCTCTCCTCTTTTCGCGTTGAAGAGGGCAACTTTCTCATCGACGATGCGCGAAAATCCCGACTCACCCGGCTGCAGTTCCTCACCCCGCGCTTCGACATCAACGTCGGCCCCCTTAGCAGCCTTATTCGACTGCTTTTTAGGTTGAGGCAGTAGCTCCAGACAGATACCAATGTGGTCGAGGCCCTGGACGATAGCTTCCGAGAGGATCTCGAACGGTTCGTGCATTTGCCTCATGACCTCGTTCCACACGCGCTTCTCCATGTTTTTCTCGGCCACGACCTCCTCGGGCGCATCATCGCCAATGTTCCATCCGCGACGCTCAGAAACGCGCTTGAAGATGTCGATAATGGTCGTCATTCCCAGGACTGGAGTGTAGACATTGCGAAACAGGATGAACATCTCGCCCAGGTCTTTTGCGTCGAGCTTGCCCCAGGCGAAATCACGCTTGGCAAAGGGTAAATCGGCATGCATCTTGCCCGCGAGCTCTCTCATGGCCGCGCCAGTCTGCTCCAGAACCTTTGCAGCCTTTGCCTCCTTGGTCAGTTTCGGTCCGTTACCACCCTTCTTTTTACCTTTCGCTTCGCTCTCGGCTTGCGCCATGGTATCTGTCCGCGTGGCAGCAGCAAACATGTCCTCAGACTCGATCTTGACCAGGTATGCTTTCTGCAACGCAACGACCTTTTTGAGCAGCCCAATGGCCCCAGCAAACTCCTTGAAGATAACCAGACGGCTGCTGACGGGAAACACGAAAAGATTAACACCGGTGGCGAGGGCGAGCGCGACGAGCATGGCGGTGAGCAGCTGCTTCACGAACGCGATCGCAGCTGGCGTAGTGGCCATGAAGGGGCCAAAGGTAGCAGAGATGTTGACCAGGATGCTGTAGATAATGACGGGCAGGTTGAAGCTGGGCAGCTTAGCGCGCACCACGTTGCAAAACCAGATATTGGCGAACAGCCAGATGGCGCACACGGCTGACTGGCTCGAGTTGTAGGGCGCGAGGAGGGTCGGCGGGGTTCCCGGGGGCGTGGTGTGCTCGCGCGCCTTGATGGATGACCAGAGCGCCAGCAGGGCGATGGCAGACCCGAAGCAGACGACGATGAGGTTGAGGAAGAGGTTCATGAGGAACTTACCCCTGGGCAGGATGGCGAGGGCGATCACGCTAATGATGGGCACGAGGTAGCCCAGGGTGGAGAAGTAGGCGGCCACGGGGGCGGCCTGGTACATGGCGATGCCGATGGTGGGTGGGAGTGAGCCTCTTTTGCGCTCATAGTGTGTTAGCGATGTAGCTGCATACGGGTAAAGTGAGGTGATCATACTTGAACATCATCAGCAAGGTAGGTGTGTCGAGATTCAGCTTTGTGAAGATGCGGTCAACAAAGCCCGGCTTCTTCTTCTTTTCGGGTACAATTTCGGGGGCATCATCATCAGCATTGCCATCGTCGTCTAGGGATTCGGTCTTTGGAGTGACATTTTGGGGCTGCTCAATGCCTTCTTGTTGTTGTCTTGTGGCGCGCATCTTGCTGGCGCTGGCCATCTTTTCATTCGTGTATTGGCTGCTCTGTCCAAGACTGGGCTCATCTGAGCCATTGGATACTGCCATGGCAAGTGCACTCACTGGACGCGATACTGATCTCTCATCCGTTGTGGTCCAATCCAGTTCAGACGAAGCTCAAAAAAGGAAGTGCAGCTTCCTGCAAGAGCAGATCAGACGGGCGGGAGCGAGGAGTGGGGATGTGGGGAAAGGTTTCACAAGGGCAGGAACGATGGAAGCAAGGATCCATTGATTCATCAATTGAAGAAATAAAGTCTCGTCTTCTCAGTATTTAACAGCGGTTGTTGTTGCTCTTGCGATATCAAGTCCCCAGCAATTCTAGGTGTTTTAGATGTCTATTTCCGCCGATATTCCGATCTTCCCGCCTCCTCTTCCCCATGGACTTGACCCTGGCATTGGCGGCCAATTGCCAAGGTAGCCCGGTGTTCCCAAGATTATGACGAAGTTCAGTGGGGTCCGATCGGAACATCGGTTGGCGAGAGCGCTGTAAGCCACTGAGATACGCTGTGCAGAAGATGTCTCTCGCGCACATGCTTCATCCCACTTTCATCTTCAATCTGGAGATCTCCCCGTCCTCCCTTCCTCCTCGCCTCACGGCACCGAATTTGCGCGCCTACGGGACACTCACAAAGAAGGTCAATCCCGTCAATCGTGGAACGACCTACAGTTTGACCAGCCTCGAAACTCGAGCTATTATGCAGCAAGATTTGGCTGACTCACACCCGCCAACTTGGTGATTGGGAGCTGCACGACCCGCGCATGCCCGCGTTTACTCCATGTGCGTACGCAGCCTCAGTATGTACCTATATGTACCTACGCATCCCCCACTGAGCAC